TCAAATGTCTGTTACTCTATTAGAAAGCATCATCCCGATACCCTATCTAGAGCAGCGATTTCTTAACCTGCACGTACTCATGTAAATCTTTTCTTTATGTTTTGGCTTGACTTTGAATGACTCCCCATTGTCTGTAGAATGAAATCCAGATTGCTTAGTATTTCTTGGTGCACCATTATTATTTAGCCACTTTCTAACTCCAGCACTGTTTTCAGCAATTCTCATACCATCATGCAGTTAGAATCATCTGTAAGAAAGATAAAATAAGAAAAAAGTGATTAGAAAATAGAGGTTTAAAAGATTATTTTTCGATGTAAATATATTCTCGCACTGAATTAACATTCATTCATCTTCAAACGTTGGATGAGATGCAAGTAGGAATGTTTATTTAACCCTTTGAATTCCAGTTGGCACCCATTCCTTAAAATGTATGTTAATAGTATTCATACAAATGGTATACTTAGAAAGAGTATAAGCCTATGTAAAAGGATCTCCATGTGAGTATATTTTCCTTTATTAGGGTTCATTTTCCTTTGGAACAGTGCTTATGATCAGAGTTTTTCTCCTCCTAATTAAATAGGAACTATAATTTATCAGTAGTTAGATACTTCATTATAAGACAGTTTGGTGATTTTGGGAATTAATGTTTCTATTTTGGCTAATCAGGAAAACATTTTATAGCTGGGGAATAAATAAACCTTTCAGAAGTGTTTATTGTTCCACTTCATACAAATACATCTTTTGGACAGTATTTCTTCTCCTTCTTTTTCTTTTTTTTTGGCGCCGGGGCAGCCGCAGGAGGTAGCGTGTGCCAGAGCAGAGACGTGTGCCTGCCCCGGCAGACATTATTTCTTAAAAGCCATAAAATTAATAGTGTATTTAAAACATTTTATTGGCATGTATTTCCTAAATCAAATTCAGCACTAGTATTTCATTGTTCTGTCTCTTACAGCCTGGGGATCTGGCAGTTAAAATTATTTTTCTGTTTTAAAATAAAAGTCTTTTCCTCCAGGGCTAGCTTTCATATTCTTGGATGTGTTTATGTCACACTGCCTTGCATTTTCATGTGCTGAGATCTCGAGAATCTGTCAGAGCTAATCTGGATCTGGTATTTCTTTGTGTCTTAAAATTATGCTGAAATTTCAATTACTAACTAATCATGCCCCGGGCTTGGTAGGATATATGGAACTAAACTACTGTATATCAGCTGCTGGAGTTAAATTTTAAATCCTTCACTACTTAAAGCAAGGACAGTACAATAACTTTAATTTACTGTCTGCAAGATGCTAAGTGTTGTTACACTGATTATAGAAGTTTATAGGGTACCATCTAAGTCCTCAAGTGTAGAATAATTCTGATCCACTGTGCCTTCTAGACATGTGCTCCACAGTGAACAGCTTCCTCTGCCTCTTCAGAGAACTTGCCTTCTACCTATTAGTCCTAATTAAAATCTATCTGTACAATACGAATACCTTTTCCCTTTTAATTTTACTCAATTGAGTTGCCATTTTCTCAAGGCTCTGGAATCACAAGGACATTTATTCAGAGTTAATGTTTGCAGAAAAATTTCAGACTTCATAGAGGCATATCATTTATATGGCTCTCTTTTCCTCATCCTCATTTGTTGAAGACTTGTACTGAAGGTTGGCTATCATTTCATCCACCCCATCTCTCAGAATAATCCTCAGCAACTTTAATGTCTCCTGAAATGTTCTCCCAATGCCTTTACCTTTTTAATCCTAAAGATCTTCACCCAGTCATAAATATATCTCAGATACGTCTTTCTTTTATTGCCAGTTACTGAAATATTCCAATACCCTTTCTAGCAACGTCTCAGTATTGTTTTTCCTTCTCTCTTCTGTTGCACAGCTACCAAAGTTATTTTTCTAAACACACATCTTTTAGGCTTTTCCTTGGCTTCAAAAAAGTGGCATGTTTCCCACTACCTAGAGCAGTGCTTCACATCTTTCCACCATCATGGCTTATGTCAAAAAAGGTAATAAATTTGTGTAGGTAAACTGAGGAGAAAACTTGGACCTGGAGGCCACTGACCTGGGGTGGCATGTTTATCTATGGTGCATTCACTGGGCTGCTCTCATGTAGAGGATAGAGCCCAAGCTCTTTAGCTTTGATGTCTTACTTAGGAAACTCCTCAGCTTTTTCCCTCCCCAAACAGGGCCTGGAACAAAAGAACCAGAATACACGTCATTTGGAAGCCAAATCCAGGGTTAAATAGGGTGAGACAGGGAAGAGAGAAGCCCTTTGGACAACTGTGGCTCATTTATTGGAGAAAATGTGTAGAATGAGCCACAGGACTGTTCCACAGGACGACAGCAGGAGAGCGACATTCTTCCGTAGTCCCTTGTCTCTCATGAATTGGGAGTTGCACCCAGGGACAAACTCTGCATCTCCAGGCTGTACCTGCAGGGGAACTTAAAGCTCTTTTTGCTTCAGAGAAAATCCTAGAGTGTTACTGGCTTGGTTTGGACCTAAGTACATTGAACTGTTTACCCTGTTAGCTCTGTACTCATGTAGCCAGGATAATATAAAGTGGAGTATCAGAAATATCTGGTACAGACTTCCTTTTGTCCTACTCAGATCTTGTGCCTCACATGAAGATCCCTGTGTCTCTAACTCTTTAAAAAGTAGCTAATCATAATATTAACATATTGGAAAGAAGAAACAAATGAAAATAACCAGACTTATGACCACAGGGTTAGTGGCCCAGCTATAGGCTGTGCCAGTCTCAAGCTGGTTTTAAGGATGTGGTTTTAGCTCATTATCTCCCTCCTTTGGTACTCATTGCTGATTTTCTCGCTCTTAGCACTTCTGCTAGAAGTGACTCAGACTGCCATCCCTGAGGAGTATGAGCTATTGGTTGTCTTTCCCTATTGGTTTGTCAGGATGTCAATCACCAGGCACAAATAACATGAAGAGATTTCCCAGAGAACCTCTAGCACTCCCAACACCCTTCTGTCCATCCCTTCTCCCTTGCAGCAGTCTTATTTCCTCATGATGGTTAGGGCTGGTTGATTATCCTTCTGTCTCCTTTCTTTGCCTACTGGTCCAACGGCATGAGTAATACAGAGTAACCAGACAGAGCTTTGGCTGCAATGGGGCCCTTACATTGTCCGGTAGTGCGGTGGTTCTTATCTAGGGATGATTTTGCCTCCAAAGGATATCTGCCAGTGTTTGGAGATGTTTTTCGTTGTCATGTCTGTTAGGGGATTGCTCCTGGAATCTACTGGGTAGAGTCCAGGGATACTACCAAATATCTGACATTACACAGGACATGCCCCAACTAAAATGAATGTCCCAAATGACAAGAGTGCCAATCTTGACAAACCCTGCTCTAATAGAAATGATTCCCCCTGGGAACCTGGTCTTCTAATCCCACAGAAGCTAGAGCTATGGGGACAGAATGCATGCAGTCGGCAAGTGGGTGTTTGGGAATGATAGTGTAAAGGTTATTTCATTCTACTTCTTAGTTCCCAGATCCATGTATTCTAGCCATTAGGAACACCAAATAGCATGCGTTTGGTTCAGTGCATAAACCACACTGCAGAGAATAGTGTCCTAGAGCTGTCCAGTCAAAGGATGGAGAAGCTGAAACATTTAGCCACTCATGCATCAGGGCTTTGGTAAACCTATGATGTGGGACCTTCGCATGGTGATGTAATCGCACATCAGTCATGCTGAACCCAGGTGGATGGAAAGGGTGGACAAGGACCAAACGCATCTGTTCTGTGTAGAATATATTCAGACTATAAATACAGGGGATTTGTCTTTATTGCCAGTGAATTTCTAGCACCCATACAAATGCCATGCACATAGGTTCATATGGGTGGCTTAACAAGTATCAGCTGAATAAGATGAAATAATTGAGCATGAGTAAACAGTAAATCAATGAATAAATGAAATCTTGCCTGAAATATTTCAAATGTATGGAATATTTTAGTGTGGTTACCAGTGCCATCTTAAATGAAGACCCTGAGGATTGTGAATCTGTGGCCTTCCTATAGCTGTCACAGCATCAACAATCAGCACATCTCACATTTGTTCTGTGTCTCTCTTTTCTGGCTTTGATTAGACATTATCCAGCTTAAGATAGTATACTTACTTTTTGTGTTCAGTTTCTCTTTTGCTCCTGAATGATGATTCAACTGAAATATTCATGAAGGCATTATTTGAGTTAAATTTTAAAAGAGTGATAGTATTTCAATAGGTTGAAATGGAGTGTAGAGAAGATCAAAAACAAAAAATGAGGATAAGTAATCTCTAAGTGTGTTTTCAGGTAATTAGTGCATAGGATATATGAATTCTATATATGGAAGTAAGAGAAAATCTTTAAAGATATAGTTGGGGCTACAGTTTGTCAAACCTTTTAGCACCAGGTGAAAGCATCCTCACACCTTCATAAATGCCCCAGTTGCTAATGGTTTATTATGTTCTGCTTCTACGGTAATGCTCATGCTTGTCGACAGTATACCTTCTGCTTTGATCTCTAACCATTTTGTCCAAATCCTCTTAGACTCTCATGATGCTGCATCAGGTTCTTCCTACACTCTCATATCCACATACATATATTCCCCAAGCTTTTACATTTTGAACTTCTTAATTCTCACTCACCTGCTTGACATTGTTTAACTTGTTGTGTGTTTTATATTTACTCTCCAACTACATAAGAAGCCAGTCAAGGACAACACTAATTCTTTCTTTCTCCTACACATCAGCAAGCAGCATGCATGCATCTAATCTCCTAGTATTCATCCCAAGAGACCGATTTTTTGTTGGGTCCCTTTCTTCTCTTCCTCCTAGCCTGTACGTGCTCTCCCTGGAGCTCCTGCTCTTTATCCCTTCTCCTTTCTCTATCTCCTTCCCCCCCCACTCCCACTCACACAAACACCACCCAACACCACTTAGTTTTTGCTTCTTTCCTGCGTACTTTTGCTTTGAGTTATTCCTGATGGAACCTTGTTTTTGTCGGCTTATTTTCCTAGATGGGAAGTGATGGAGTTTTACGCCTCAGTACTTCAGCTCTAAATAATGAATTCTTTGCATATGCAGCACAAGGGTGGAAACAGCGACTGGCAGAAGGTAAATTTCTATTTTCTATTATTATGTGACATACTGGAGTACACATACTGTACTGAGCTTTGTATATTTCTCTGATTTCCCAGTCTTTTTCCCACGGCAGTATACTTTAATTTAGTAAAAACTCATATCCCTTTCCAAATGAGTTCACTAACTCTTTTGTTATACCTGACATTATCCATGTCAGATATTTCTGAAGAAAACATAATTTTATCTTAGACATCATAAAATTTTGGATACAGCGAATTTTTCTTGGGAATGGTAATTTTAATGGTATTATTTGATCGTTATGCATTCTCTTAAGTGTCCTGGCACCTAGAGAAACTTCTTTTCATGTTCTCTTCCCCTGAAGTTACTACTTTACCTTATCCTTCCTTTAGTCACCAAGTTTCTTGGAAGACTAAAAAGTACCCAATGCTGCTATATTTTTCCACTTTACACATTCAAACTGTTACAGTCAGGGGTGACACCACTCTACACAACTGAAATATTTCTCCTAGAGAAAGACTACTGGCCAGGCGTGATGGCTCACACCTGTTACCCCAGGACTTTGACAGGCCTAGGCAGGCAAATCACTTGAGCTCAGGAGTGAAGACTGGCCTAAGCCACGTGGTGAAAGTCTATCTCTACAAAAAAATACAATAATCAGCCAGGTGTGGTGGTGCATACCTATAGTCTCAGCAACTCGGGATTCTAAAGTGGGTGGATCACTTGGGTTCAGGAGGTCGAGGCTGCAGTGATCCACCTACCGATCACTCTACTGCACTCCAGTCAAGGCAACAGCAGAATGACACCCTGTCTTAAAAAAGCAAACAAAAACTATATGTGTGTGTGTGTGTGTGTGTGTGTGTGTGTGTGTGTGTGTGTGTGTGTATGCATATGTATAACTAATGGTAAAGTCCAATTTCCTGTTCTCAATGCCTGCATTTCAAGTTCCATCACTAATATCTCATAAATGTTTTTTCACCCCATCTGATTTGAAACCATCTACTTTAGATTTAAAAACAGATTTTAAGTCGATTTCTGAGGCTTAAATTATTTCTGTTTCTGCCAGCCCTTGCTCAACTTTCATCAGGATCCCCTATTCTTCCATCTGATGTCTCCCGCATTTTCTTTTCTAATCATATGTGTTCCCTAAGCTGCCTCATTCACCACCATGGTTTTAGCTATTGCCAGTGTGCAAAGAATTGTCATATCTGGCTTCCACCCCCTTCCCTAATTCCCACCTCTTTCCCCCGTGTTTTATTTTCAAACACTTAGCAGATCTCACTAGCACAGGCACTTTCATCCAGAACTCCCAATAGTAAATTCACTAGCTTCTCTTCCCTCTTTGCTCCTTCTTCTGCTTCCTCTACTTCTGTGATATCACAACTGTCCTCATAGTTCCTCAGTTTAAAACCTTACTCATGTCTTTGACCCTCTTCCTTTTCTTCATGCCTCTCTGGTCATGAACTGTTACTTGTACTTGATTCCTCCACAACATTCCTGCTGCTACTGGCCCAACTGTAATCTCCATCTCTCCTGTGTCCTGTTCAGTAACCCTCTAGATGCAGTCCTCCAATTCTTTATTCTGTTGTCAGACCTATTTTTCTACACAACTTACTTGGCCATATTCCTTCCACACTGAATGCCACCAGAACCTCCCTCTGTCTCTCACAGAAAAATAAAGAACTTTCATTAGAATATCTGTTGGGTAATTGGCCTCAGGTTTTATTTTCCATTTTATTTCTTCCTATGTTTTACTCACAATTGGCTACTCAAAAGATCATAAATATATGTATTCATATCTCTGTGCCTTGTGATTTAATTACTTTATAAAAGCCTGAGTAACCTTCAAAAGCAAACTCAAGAATCACTTCCTATATGTAGTCCTCTTTAATTGACTTAGGCAGAATTACGCGCTTTACCCTGTATTATTTCACTACATTTATTATTATGGCCTATACAGGGCTTTAGACATTATATTATACTCTATTTCCAGCAGACTGATTTCCTTAAGGACAGTGAATATACACTCTTTTATTTGTAGCCCCTAGCAGGTAATACATTTGCTAAATGCTTTAGTGTTCTTCTAAAGCATTTATCTTTAGAATTTTTATGAACATCTTGAGTGATGTTCATGAGAAGAGAAGCTGTAGAAATGTTATCATTATTTGTCCTTGTACTTTTCAAGATCCATGAAAGTTTACTCAGATGAGTTACATGTTTTCTTTATGAATTGGCAAAAGATGTGACCACTTTCACTCAATACATTAGCATTTTCTTTTTAGGAGAGTTTACCCCAGAAATGCAGTTGCGGATAAGGCAAGAAATGGAGAAGGAAAAGAAAACAGAACCTTGGAAAGAAAAATTCTTTGAGAGATTTTATGGAGAAAAGTAAGTACTAGAGTATTTTTTCTCATTTCTCTTAGAAGGAAATGAAAATGTAATTCTCTGCTTCACATAGCACACTCATATGCTGTAAAACTTAATAAACCTGTGATAAAAGGCAATAGTCCCTCAGTGTAAGAAAGTACAGATGAAATTATAGTGGTATATCAGCACTTGAATTTTTTAAAAAATGCATTTTCAAGGGTTTATAACTTGTTCATGAAAATTTATTTTGGGCTGAAAATAGCACATGAAATCTTATAGAAGTCACTTTTGGTTTTCTTAACGGATTTGAGTAAAATTCTCCTATTTTCAAGTATGTTCATGAATGAATTCTTTATAGAGAAGTAATTTTTGGCATGTATTTAATTCTCACACTTTTCCAAAAGCATTGACTGTGCCTAATGCATTTTAATCTGTGTTCAGTTTAGTCCTTGTTTTGGGGAGCCCCTGAGATTTATCTTTTGCCTTATCTTCCTCTTCAAATGTAATCTATCTTTAATTTATTATGTGTGTATATGCTTCTTTTTTAAGTAATAAGAGCCTTTACATCATAGTGTGGGAGCAAATGAACTAACCCTGAAAGCAGTTTCACCTTTGCCTCATGTTTAGTAGACACATTCTGCTTGGGCAATTAGTGTCTCAGACAATCAGATCCCTAAAAAGGAGGGATTTAAGCACTTACTATTGATGGTCACTTCAGATTCCCCTTCATAGAGGAACTTGTGCCCCAATTCCCACATACACAGTCAACGCTTTGAAGTTGTTATTTTGTGTAAAGGACACAGGTGGTTGCAGGTAACAAAACCTATGTCATGGGATCTCATTTCCCAAAATTTCACCTATAAATGGGGAAAAAAGACATGCCAGAAGTCTCACGTGAGAGCTCTTCATGAAAAGAAATAAGATATTTAACAGACCGCTTGAATTAGGGTACTCAGAGTATCCTGACCTTTGTGAATTGTCCTAAATGGTAGTCCTCTTGAGTAGGAAGGCCTGTTTTTAATTGTTGTGCCAGGATTTCTGGATGCCTATATATTTTTAAGCAAAACTAAATAGAGATAATTGATGTCTTTTCTCAAACATTAAAAATGTGACAATCTAGTTAATAGATCTTCACATGAAGTCACCAATAATAACACTCAAGCCTGGCTATATCAAAATCTAGGAGTTTAGCCCAGGAGTCTGTGTTTTTAGAAGTTTTCCAGGTTATGCTGATGCCCAGCAGGATTAAGAACCCTGCAGGATGAGATTAAAGACTATTTAGAAGCCTTCCCTCTCCTTTTACCTGTGAAAGACACTGTTGGGCACACACTTTTCAGTAATGGCAGAAGCATAACCAAGACAGTACCTCCAAGCATTGGTTCTTAATTTTTTTAGTGATAGACCCATTCTTTTATTAAATTAATGTTTTTATTCAACATTGTCTCTGTGTCAGACACTCTCCTGGATGCCAGGGATGCAATTGTTTATAGGGCTACCTAAGTTCTACTCCCAGAGAGCCACAGTTCAAGGGAGTTACATTACAGAGAGCTTTCCTTCATGCAACAAATAATCATTCAGAATACCCTCGCTCTGATATGCTTCTAAAAGCTTTGCAAATATTATTTAATCCTCCCAACAATTCTATAAGATGGATACCATTATTTATATTACTTTAAAAAAAAATTTGGGAAACCGAGGGAAAATGAAGCTAAGTAATTTTCCCAGGTTTATAACACTGAGGTTGGTTGAGTAACTTGGTTGGGGTCTTCATTCTGCAAATCCTTCTCTGAAAAATTCACACATATGCACAATCTTTGCATGAAATTTAGGAACTTCCCAGATTCCCTTGGGCATCAGATTTATGGTGTCTTCCCTAGAAAACAACAGCTATAATATTAATAAAGAGGACCCCCTTCCTTACCATCACCAAACTCTGAATACGTTCTTCTCTTTAGTGTCCCCCATTTTTTTTTTTGCTGTAGTTTATCAGTAGTTTTTGTCCCCTCACATCACCAGACTTGTCTCTTGATCTTTTCTATCTTTTATTACATATTTCATGGCAGATATATTTTGCACATTTCATTGACTGCCCTTCTCATTTTGTTGCTCCCAGGTTACCTGTATTCCCCTACCACCAGTTTTTAGTTGACTGATACCATGTGCCTTCTCATTGCTCTAAGTTTTTTCAAAAATATGTCTAAACGTTCAAACTAGTGTCCAGTTAAGATCTGCCTGGTTTCATTTTCTGCTTGTTTTAATATTTATTATGATTCTCACTTGCTTAATCTGTTTATAATATAGTATTGTTCTGTATTTGTTTTATATCACTTGTATAAATGGTAAGTATTAGAGGACTTGATTTGTGAATTTGTGTCAAGATCTCTGGAGGCCAGCGTTTTCCTTTGCGAAGTATGGGGAACTGTGAACATCTTCTTCCTATGCCTTATGCCATCTTAAGCCTGTTTTCCCATGAAAATAAGAAAATGTTGACATGGGCATATTTTATACAGTGCTGTTGTACATGTACACTTATATGTATAAGTGTGTATGTATGTATACTTAGTAATATTTTGTATGTATATTTAATAATACTAACCAACTAGCAGAAAGTTGGCTCACGGTGGATAGATTTTGGTGTGTTACATACTTAGTCTAGTATCAGTAGTGTCTCTGCTTGACCTAGTCCTAAGGAACCTAATTTCTTGCAGATTATTCTGCTTTAAATTTATCTGTAATGCTGTTGTTCTGGTCTTCTCAGTATAGTATAGTTATAAATTGTAGCTTACTTTGGATTCATCTTAGAGAACATTGAAAGGAAAGAGATTATTTATGAAGATAGTATCTTCTATCTTTTCAGAAATTTCTGAATTTAAATAAAGAAGGCAAAGACCAAATACCCCAAAACTGTATTCAATGTTATTTCCCTTTACTTTGAGGATTTTTTAAAAATAAAAGGTTAAAGTGGTTTTCACTGAGGTATTTTTTGCATCAATGTTACTGTGACTATATTTCTTTACTTAAAGGTGCTTCTTCCTCTGGAAATATTCTCTCTCCTACTTATCTTTCTCATTGCCTGGACCCTAATTGAAGTTCATTTGTAACAGCATATTTCTCTACCATCTGATGCTGACAATGTAAATTATATGACAGAAAATAGTGATTTATAGTAACCTTGAGTGTAAATCTAATTAGATTTACCTTAAGACCTGAATATCATGCTCAATTATTTCTTGATTTTCTGTAATGTCATTTAAGGAATATCTTTACAGTAAGAGATCTGCATGAAATAACTTAAAAGTCTTACTGCACAGAGATATAAGCTGGTAGAATAACTTTGATAACCCCAAATATGTTCTGTTAATCTTTAATGAAATTTCCATGTTGTCTTAGGTTAGACACTTAGATGCTAAAATAAGGAGATTGAGTAATACTTCTTAGAGTAAAGAAAACCAATCTTTGGAACTCATTTCAATTTCAAAATTTGATGAATTTAATTCATCTTCCATTTATCTTAATTACTTGTTTGTTTTATATCTGCTGAAAACTATAAATTTCTATTATAAGAGCATCATTCTACTTTCGGATTTATCTATCTATCTATCTATAGATATCTATCTATCTATCTATCGGTAGATAGATAGATAGATAGATAGATATCTTATACATTATTTTGCTTTTCTGCTCGTATTTTCTAATACTTTGTTGTATGTAATTTTCTTATTCCTTTAGTAAGGTTCATATCTCCTTGCTTTACAAAATAAAAATCGATTCTGTTCTTAATCAGAAGTAGAGTTTTAGTTGAGATTATAAAAGCAGCAAAGAAGCATCATCATTATAAACTGGTTTACATAAATTAAACATGTTAGTGATTATACAAGTAATTTGGTGTATTTACTTATATTGAATACTACATTCATGAGAGATCCCAGTTATACCTTTCATGTTTTGTGGTTGAGCAATAATTTCATATCTCTAATTTCTGTACAGACTGGGTATGTCAAGAGAGGAATCTGTGAAGCTCACTACTGGACCAAACAATGCTGAAGCTCAAAGTAGTTCCTCATGTGGAACTTCTGCTCTTCCAGTTTCTACACAGATGCCCTTGACAGAACAACAGCCAAAAAGCATGAAAAGCCCAGCTTCTCCAGAGTCTGGTTTCTGTGCTTCTCTTTGCCCTATGGTAGAAATTCCAGCTAAAGATATAATGGCAGAATCAGAGTCAGAGGATATCTTGATCCCTGAAGAATCTGTAATTCAGGAGGAAATTGCAGAAGAGGTAGAGACTAGTATCTGTGAATGCCAGGATGAAAATCATAAGACAATACCTGAATTTTCTGAGGAGTCTGAAAGTCCAACCGATTCTCATGAAGAACCCCAAATAGCACCTCCTGAAGATAACTTGGAATCCTGTGTTATGATGAATGATGTTTTAGAAACTTTGCCTCATATTGAAGTTAAGATAGAAGAGAAGTCAGAATTGCCCCAGGAAGAAATGACAGTTGTCATCGATCAGTTAGAAGTCTGTGACTCTCTTGTTCCTCCCACTTTATCTGTGACTCGTGTCAGTGACACAGAACATAAGGAGTCAGAAACTGCAATAGAGACCAGTACCCTCAAAATAAAAACTGGGTCATCTTCTCTAGAAGGCCAGTTTCCAAATGAAGGAATTGCTGTAGATATGGAGCTACAGAGTGATCCTGAAGAACAGCTTTCAGAAAATGCCTGCATCTCTGAAACATCCTTTTCTTCTGAGAGCCCAGAAGGAGCCTGTACCAGCCTGCCTTCCCCAGGAGGGGAAACACAGTCCACATCAGAAGAATCATGTACTCCAGCCTCCCTTGAGACAACATTTTGTTCTGAGGTGTCTAGCACTGAAAATACAGACAAATACAACCAGAGAAATTCCATTGATGAAAACCTTCATGCATCTTTGATGTCAGAAATATCTCCAATATCCACTTCACCTGAAATATCAGAAGCATCTCTTATGTCCAACTTACCATTAACATCGGAAGCATCACCAGTATCCAACTTACCTTTAACATCAGAAATGTCACCGATGTCTGACTTACCTTTAACATCAGAAACTTCTTCAGTGTCTTCCATGCTTCTCACCTCTGAGACCACTTTTGTATCCAGCTTGCCACTTCCTTCAGAAACATCTCCAATTTCCAATTCTTCCATGAATGAGAGAATGGCACATCAGCAAAGAAAGTCACCTTCTGTATCTGAAGAACCACTCTCCCCGCGGAAAGATGAGTCTTCCACCACTGCTAAACCCCTGGGAGAGAACCTTACCTCCCAGCAGAAGACTCTAGCTAATTCTCCTGAAGCCATCATAATGAGTTCTTCTTCCATTGCTCCTGAAGCATTTCCATCTGAAGATTTGCACAGTAAGACCCTGAGCCAGCAAACATGTAAATCACATCTTGACACTGAAAAGCCCTATCCTGCTTCGATTCCAGAACTTGCTTCTACTGAAATGATAAAAGTTAAAAATCATAGTGTCCTGCAAAGAACAGAAAAAAAAGTGTTATCTTCACCATTGGAATTATCTGTCTTTTCTGAAGAGACAGAGAATAAGGGAAATGAGCTTCCCTCTGCTAAATTACAGGACAAGCAATATATCTCATCAGTGGATAAGGCTTCACTTTCAGAAGGCTCTAGAAATAAAACACATAAGCAAGGGAGTACACAGAGTCGTTTAGAAACCTCACATACTTCCAAGTCATCAGAACCCTCCAAGTCACCTGATGGGATAAGAAATGAAAGTAGAGATTCAGAGATATCAAAGAGGAAAACTGCAGAGCAGCACAGCTTCGGAATCTGTAAGGAAAAGAGAGCTAGGATAGAAGACGATCAGTCAACCCGGAACATATCAACTGGCAGCCCAGCTGAGAAAGAACAGCCTCCAAGAGAGGAACCACGGGTTCCCCCTCTCAAGGTATGGTACAAAATAAAAAAAACAAAAGGCCATTCCATATATAGGCTTTTTTCTATTTAGAAGCCTAATTTTTCAAGAATAATTAGATGTTCTTCCTTCTAGGTTTATGCAGCAATTTATAATCTAATCCTTTAATAGTAAATGACCCTCTTCGTGACTATGCTTGAATTTATAAAAGCAGTTTAGATACATGCATATGTTTAAACCCTGGTATTAAAGAAAAAAGAATTAAGGAGAGAGAATAGGGCCTGGAAATGTCTACAGGCCACTGAGACACCTGGACTTATAGGGATTTCAAGGTGTAGGACAGAGACCTATGTAAACCTGGGAAAATGGGAAAGATAATTTAGTGTCCTATAAAAGTTCTCTGGGACTAGGGAAAGAAGTAATCAAAACTCAGAGGCCAGGACAAAGGCAGAGAAGGTATGTATTATCCCTACATTCATTTCCCAACAAACACTGAACACCAGTATTGCCTAGCATTGAAGACCTAGCTTATGGTTGAGCTTCATTAAATATTTCTTAAATAAAGTAATAAAATTGCCTTATGAACTCTGAGAGAGAATACTATAGAGGTGTAGATATACAAAGCCTATTTTTTTTATTTCCAAGATAGTAAATAGGCCTTTAACTTCACCAAATAATAAAGGCTTACAGATAAACATTTCTATTTATATACTTTCTTTTGATCCCAGGTAAATTTTAACTTCCAGAAAACAAAGCATTTATATAAATTAGTTCTGTCTGAGTAAACTGAAAATTAAGGTTTATTCAAAAGAAACCCCAGTGTAATTTTTTTTTTAAGTTTCTACCTTTTGTCATTTATACTTTTGTACAGTGAAGTGGATTATTCCATCATAGCATTGGTCTAGAATTACAAACATCTCAAATTTTTTAAATTAAAAAAAATCCTGCTCTATTTGTAAATATAAAATCTATAAAATTTTCATTTTATATATGACTCATGCTCTCCACAGGCTGACTTTAAGAGTATGGTTGTACTTACTCTTTTTAATAAAGCAGGCTCTAGTAAGCAAGATTCTAGAGGTATAAAAAATAAGCATTAAGTTCAATTAAAAACTCACTATGCATTTTAATTTTTTAAGCCATAGAAAGAATAATATAAACTTTTCATAAGAGATATTTTTAAACATGCCAGTCTTTTTTTTGTCCAAAGCTTATTTTCAAAGTCATATAGACTTTATGTAAAGATAGATAATATGAGGGAAATTTGTAGTTATGAAAATGTTCTATATTGTAATTGTATCAATGTCAGTATCCTGGTTGTGATATCACAGTCTTGCAAGATGTTACCATCTTGCAATATTATTGAGCACATTAATTAATAAATTAAGCATTGATGTTAAAAAAAAAGGTAGGTAGATAAATACAAGAATATTTGATGTTTGGTCTTAAGAGCTCTTGCTTAAGCATATTTAAATTTAATTATTAAAAATGTGTTTAATTTTTTACACTAGGAGAAATATTAAAAGAGCAAATTGAATCTTCTCCCCAGAAGTCATCTTTTTTTTTTTTTTTTTTTTTTTGGCCTTTGGAATTTTGGAATAGAAGACAGACTTCACAAGCAGTTTGAAAATGAGAAACAAGATAGCTCAGGAAGATAATTTCATCTATCAACGTTCCAAAGCATAATTCTAAATTGATATGTATAATCTGGAGAAAAATGAAACAGAATACATGGAAACAGCACCAAATGGGAAGCCCAGAGACTCTAGGTCACTCACTAGTTATATAACCCCAGGGTAAACTGCTTTACCTGCACAGCTTCGGTTTTCTCAACTGTGAAATGAGGGACATCAACTAGAGTCTTTCCAGCTCTACACAGCCATGACTAAGAATGTTTTTAGTGACTAGAGCAACACAGCCTTGCTATGGGATGCTGGTTGTTAGATCTTGTTTCCTCCTGAATTTGGTGATGACTTTGTGAGTCTCTTAATTAGCAAAAATAGGTAAACGGTATGGGTTGGGACGTGTACAAAATTCAGCATATTGTGGACTACCAACATCAAACTGCCCAATGTATAAATTTTTTAGAGGCAGAAAATCAGAGTTTGCCTTGCTTTTGTGCAAATGTAATGATAATACAATCCCTTTGGAAAACAGAACACTCTGACAAATGTAGTCTCATTCCATCTTTAAAACTGCTCTTTGAGGGAAATAGACCAGAACTGAGTTTACAAACTTCTCTTGTGTTCTTATTGTATATGTATAAAGCAGCATACAAGGTAGCATGGGAGTACATAAAAATCATAGAGTCCTTGGCTCAGAGAAGTTATTGGAGAAACTGAGGTACATAGTGGTTAGTGTTTACAAAGTTCCTTTGTGTAAAGTCAGAATGAGAATTCTAGTTGTCAGTATCTTGGTCAGGCCTTTTTTCTTTGGGTCAAATTAAGACAGATAAACTCAAATAAAGTAGAAATCCCAGTTTTTTATACCACTAAGGAAAATAATTTCAAAACTAAATATCTCAAAGTCTTTTAGCCTACCCCACTTCTAGAAGCATGAATTTTGTATCCATTTATATGAGGCATTAAGAAGTTGCTTCCTTTCCCTGCCAAATGAAGTCACAATGGATGTTTTTATAGATTAAAAACAGAGATTAAAAACTTAATTTTCACATTCATGCTACATTTCTTGTTGCTTTATGCCCTAAAGACGCATCCAGGGATTTAGGTGTAGTTCATGGCACATTATGAGAGAATGCAGCTAGTCCTTTCCCTTGCATTATCACATTCTATGTGCCTCCTCTGTGATCTTGTATCATCCCATTTTATTTTTCTTCTCTCCTTCTTGTAGATCCAGCTTTCCAAAATTGGGCCACCTTTTATAATCAAGAGCCAACCAGTCTCGAAACCTGAGTCTCGAACATCCAGTAGCACTTCCATCAGTGGCGGGAGGAACACAGGAGCCAGGACCCTCGCAGATATCAAGGCTCGGGCCCAACAAGCTCGGGCCCAGCGAGAGGCTGCCGCAGCCGCTGCTGTAGCGGCTGCAGCAAGCATTGTCTCTGGAGCCATGGGAAGCCCAGGAGAGAGTGGAAAGGCGAGAACCCTGGCACACATCAAAGAGCAGACAAAGGCTAAGCTCTTTGCAAAACATCAAGCTCGAGCCCATCTCTTCCAGACCTCTAAAGAGACCCGGTTGCCTCCGCTCAGCTCAAAGGAAGGGCCTCCAAACTTAGAAGTCTCTTCTACCCCTGAAACAAAAATGGAAGGTTCGACTGGTGTCATTATTGTCAATCCAAACTGTAGATCTCCTAGCAACAAGTCTGCACACCTCCGGGAGACCACCACTGTCCTACAGCAGTCTCTTAACCCAAGTAAACTTCCAGAAACTGCCACTGACTTATGTGTGCATAGTTCTGATGAAAACATACCTGTGTCACATTTATCTGAGAAAATTGTTTCATCTACCTCTTCTGAAAATAGCAGTGTGCCCATGCTTTTTAATAAAAATTCTGTCCCCGTATCTGTTTGCAGCACTGCTATGTCGGGAGCAATTAAAGAACATCCCTTTGTGAGTTCTGTTGATAAATCCTCTGTTCTAATGTCTGTTGACAGTGCAAACACTACAATTTCTGCTTGTAATATAAGCATGTTAAAAACCATCCAGGGAACTGACACTCCATGCATAGCCATTATACCAAAATGTATTGAAAGCACTCCCATTTCAGCCACTACAGAGGGCTCCGGCATATCAAGCTCCATGGATGATAAGCAGTTACTAATATCAAACAGCAGTGCTAGTAACTTAGTCTCCACTCAGTACACCTCTGTGCCAACTCCCTCCATTGGAAACAATTTGCCAAACCACCTCTCCAATAGCTCTGTCTTGATTCCCCCGACGGGAATTAACAACAGATTTCCTTCTGAGAAGATAGCCGTACCTGGGAGTGAAGAACAGGCCACCGTATCCATGGGTACCACTGTGAGAGCAGCTCTCAGCTGCAATGATTCAGTCGCGGTCACAGACTCTCTGGTTGCACACCCAACCGTTGCAATGTTTACTGGAAACATGCTGACAATAAACTCTTACGATAGTCCGCCCAAGTTAAGTGCTGAAAGCTTGGACAAAAATTCAGGGCCTCGAAACAGGGCAGACAATTCTGCAAAACCTCAGCAACCACCAGGGGGCTTTGCACCAGCAGCCATAAACCGATCAATTCCGTGTAAAGTCATCGTTGACCACAGCACCACGCTGACCTCCAGTTTGTCTCTGACTGTCTCCGTTGAAAGCTCCGAAGCCAGCTTGGACCTGCAGGGCAGGCCGGTGAGAGCAGAGGCATCTGTACAGCCCATGGCGTGTCCTCAGGTGTCTGTGATTAGCAGGCCTGAGCCAGTTGCCAATGAAGGTGTAGATCACAGTTCCACTTTCATTGCTGCTTCGGCAGCAAAACAAGACTGTAAAACATTGCAGGCCACCTGCACAAGTCTCCGAGAATTACCCCTTGTTCCAGATAAATTAAATGAGCCGACTGCTCCCAGTCATAACTTTGCTGAGCAGGCACGTGGCCCAGCTACTTTCAAAAGTGAAGCAGACACAACTTGTAGCAGTCAGTATAACCCAAGTAACCGAATTTGCTGGAGTGACGATGGGATGAGGAGCACAGGACAGCCTCTCGTTACTCATTCAGGTTCAAGTAAACCGAAAGAGTACCTAGAACAAAGCTGTCCAAAGGCTATCAAAACTGAACATGCCAGCTACTTGAATGTGTCAGAACTTCATCCCAGAAATCTCATAACAAATGTTGCTCTTCCTGTGAAATCTGAACTCCACGAAGCGGACAAGGGCTTTAGAATGGACACTGAAGACTTCCCTGGCCCCGAGCTGCCTCCTCCGACTGCAGAGGTAGCCTCTAGTGTACAACAAACACAGAACGTGAAAGCTTCCACTTCAAGTCCCATGGAAGAGGCTGCTTCCTTGGCTACTGACACACTGAAAAGAGTCCCTGGTGCAGGGAATTCAAGCTGTCGTCTGTCCTCTGTGGAGGCTAACAATCCACTGGTGACGCAGTTACTACAGGGCAACCTGCCTTTGGAAAAAGTGCTGCCACAGCCCAGATTGGGAGCCAAGCTCGAGATCAACAGGCTTCCATTGCCTCTTCAAACTACCTCAGTGGGTAAACCAGCGCCAGAGAGAAACGTTGAAATTCCGCCCAGATCTCCAAATCCAGATGGTAAGAGCTACTTGGCAGGGACTGCTGCACCACTCCAAATTAGAAAGCGAGAAAACCACCCCAAGAAGAGAGTAGCTAGGACTGTAGGAGAGCACACTCAAGTTAAATGTGAACCAGGAAAATTGTTGGTGGAGCCAGATGTGAAAGGGGTGCCTTGTGTCATCAATTCTGGCATGAGTCAGCTAGGACACAGCCAGCCATTTAAGCAAGAATGGCTAAACAAGCACTCCATGCAGAACAGAATTGTTCACAGCCCTGAGGTCAAACAGCAAAAGCGGCTGCTCCCATCGTGTAACTTCCAGCAGAACCTATTTCATGTTGACAAGAATGGCAGCTTCCACCCTGACACTGGTACCTCACACAGACAGCAGTTTTACCAAATGCCTATGGCTGCGAGGGGCCCCGTTGCTACTGCAGCTCTATTACAGGCCTCTTCCAAGACCCCAGTGGGATGTAATGCATTTGCCTTCAACAGGCATCTTGAACAGAAGGGATTGGGAGAGGTTAGTCTTTCCTCAGCACCTCACCAGCTAAGGTTAGCCAACATGTTATCCCCCAATATGCCCATGAAAGAAGGCGATGAGGTGGGAGGCACTGCACACGCAATGCCAAACAAAGCACTTGTACATCCACCACCGCCACCGCCTCCCCCTCCCCCTCCCCCTCCACCCTTGGCTTTGCCCCCGCCTCCCCCTCCACCACCTCCACTACCTCCACCTCTCCCTAATGCAGAAGTCCCATCCGATCAAAAACAACCTCCAGTTACCATGGAAACCACTAAGAGACTTAGTTGGCCACAGTCCACGGGCATATGTAGCAATATAAAATCGGAACCTCTTTCTTTTGAGGAAGGTTTAAGCAGCAGCTGTGAACTGGGCATGAAACAAGTTTCCTATGACCAGAATGAAATGAAAGAACAGTTAAAAGCATTCGCGCTAAAAAATGCAGATTTCTCTTCCTATTTGCTTTCTGAGCCACAAAAGCCTTTTACCCAATTAGCTACTCAGAAAATGCAGGTGCAGCAACAACAGCAGCTCTGTGGAAATTATCCAACAATACACTTTGGTAGCACGAGTTTCAAAAGGGCAGCATCTGCAATTGAAAAGTCCATTGGGATTTTGGGAAGTGGCTCCAATCCTGCCACGGGCCTGCCCAGTCAGAACGCTCAGATGCCCGTTCAGAACTTTGCCGACAGCAGCAATGCAGATGAGTTGGAACTGAAATGCTCTTGCCGGCTGAAAGCCATGATTGTGTGCAAAGGCTGTGGGGCCTTCTGCCATGACGACTGCATAGGCCCTTCAAAACTCTGTGTAGCATGCCTGGTTGTACGATAAGAGCTGAGTGAAAGATGCAGTATCCCTTTTCCACGTGGAAAAGCCAGATAGCATCAGCAGCAACAAACTGAATAATGCAGTGGTTTCTATCATGCTAATTTATTTTGCTTTGGAACAGGTCTCTTTTTTCTGTGGCATTGTTTTCTTGCGTTTCTCATAAAGGGGAGGATGCATCCCAACTGAATGGCTCAGTGGCATGTCTTTTACTTGTTCAGTTGCCATTCTGAGCTTCAGAAAGTTTCTGTCCATGTGTATACAAGTCAATGCCCCATCTTTGTTTTTCTTTTAACCCAGCTGTAGATAGGAAAATGACATTTTTAATTACTTAACAACCAGAAATGCAGATGTGTAGAGAGAATGAGAGGAATGATTTAAGGTGGGTTCTGCATTTTTCTGCAGATGACCCATTACAGCGAGGAATTATACACTTGACTTTTCTGGACCTAGCTTTACCACAGTGATTAAATCCTATTTAGAAAGGGGAATCTGATTTAAATGTGTGATTCCTTGTATTTACTCCTATCAAAAGATGTATTAAAGGAGGTATGCCATTAATGAAATCCACTGTCCTGATTATTATCTTCCCTCCTGTTTTACTCTTTCCCAGAAACTATGGCAGAATATCTGTACCTGCCTTGGATTTTGTACACATATTGTAGTGAAATGTGTCCTACATGTGAAATTGCAGCATGGGACTCATGCCCAGCAATGTGGTTCTAGCCCTTTGACACCTGATCATATGAGATCAATTGGCCAGCCAATAGCCATAGGCCCAGAGGATTTTAGCACTTCCTGTATGACTTTAAAGAGCAAGTTTGAAAAAAAAAAAAAAAAGCCCTGAAATTCAAAGCAAGGAAATAAGATGCTGTTTATGCACACACAAATGGGTTGATAATGTAAATATCCTATTCATGCTAATGAATTACTAGATATTAAAGTGGGGGGGGGAATTATTGTAGCCCTTTATTGATGACACCCATGCATTCTGGCTTCAGACCTTGCAAAGGTTGGCCATCTCTTTTCAAAAGGGTCATTGATGATAAAAGGGACTACCCAAGGGTAAAGCGTCAACATTTTACAGAACAATTGTTTTTCTTATTATTTACAGCCTATATAATTGAACTCTGAAATAACCCTCATTTTGAAAAAAAAAAATGTTCTACGTGTAGCGTGTTCCCCCCCCCCACCCCCTCAGGTGTATTCAGTACATTCTTCATATTGGGGGAACTGCTTTTGAAAAAGGGATACTGCATCTTAAAATTATCTTCAGTGTGCATCCAGTAACGTCTGAGTGTCGAGTATTTGAGCTACATTCCATATGCTTTGGCCACCCTCATAGCGGAGGACAGCCGTAGTTCAGGAGGCTCTGTTCCCAAAAGCAAGTTCAAAAGCACATGCACATTGTGGGAAGATGAAAGAAAACAAAAACCAACCACGCCCACTTAACTTCAGATTTCAGAGCACAAAGTTTGGAGTGCCATTAACCCGTTGATTGATTGTGGCTGTAGAATATAAAAAGCAAACGTGGGGAGGGGGCGGGGAATCATCCGTATCCAGGGTACGAATGACTGATATTTTCACATGGGATTATCCTAATCACTGTAAACTTTTCGACATTCCCGTAAAACACGTCTTAAAAGTTGACTGGAATGAGCAGAAATTACATTCCTAAAAACAAGAACACTTCTGATTTTTTTATAATAACTACATGAGATTTTTTTTCTCCGTATTTATTGTGATGTTGCCAAATTTCTTTAGGTGATAGAGACATCATTTGGAATAACAAGTTGCTGGTAGTGAAAGGTACTTTATCTTAGAAAGAAAGAAAGAAAGGCGTGCCGCTGTAGACATGATTTTGGTGCTTCAATACTGTCATTTCTGTTTTTCACGGTAAAATTGGCAAAACTAATGACTGAGAAAGTTAGCAATGCGCTTAACCAGCCTTTCCCGAGGAATGCAGCGTAAGTTCCAGTGGATCCTTAGTTTTCTCTTCACTGCACGCCGGGTTATATTGGGGTGGCTTCCTTATAAGCGGTGTCTTTATTGTCTGCTTGGCTCTAATATCATCCTGATTTTGAAGATCATGCTCTTAGTCTCACAGTGGGGCACCTCTATAACATAGACGCTTGCATGCCAACTCCTTCCAAATTCAGTCACTGCTATACCAGTGTCAGATACTGTCTACACCAGCAGATTGAAACCCATCACATCAGTAACTGACATGGTGTTGAAAGAAACTCCAGTCTACGGAAACTTTGCACTCGGTATGTGAGGTACAATTGAGGCTGCTGAGATTCTGAGCTTATGATCAGTTCCTTCATTGGTGAATACTGCTTGCAAGTTGCTTACTGAGAATAAGGAAAAGTGTCCTTCTGTATGTTTTGATTTTTCACATAACAGCCTTGGAAAATCAGTTGCTGATAGTGCATGGATTCTCTCATCCAGGTCCGATTAGCATCATTTTTCTGTGCCCTTGCTCTTTTTTGCTCCAATTCAAATACCTAGTGTTCTCATATGGCTTATATTACTGAAAAATTAATATCTTTAAGCTAAAATATAAGGGAAAGGAAGAGAAATTTAGATGTAAAATGTGGGTCAGATATTTTATAAGTGTTCATTTAATATATATATATATACACAAAAGCCAGTATATTTGAATTGAGTGAGTAGGTTCTTAGTTTTCTGATTTCTACATATGTCTGCTGTGTGCAAATGGAGTATGTTATTTACTACATGGTTATTGTGGTGTGGCGTGCAAATGTTAGCATGTGCATTATCCTGATTACTGGACACAATTTTTTTCTTACCAGGAATAGAACTTGCACATGTACCATGCAATTTTTTTTTAAATCACAAAGGATGTCTTTCCCTAAGTAGCACTTTTGGAGCAGGGGGAGGAAGAAAACTGCTATTTCCTAATCCTCCTCCTATAAGATATGCATATGCCTGAGGTGTATAAAGACATTTAGGTTAGTTAATGGGCATGTTAATAAGAGCATTCTGATGCAAATTCCTTTTCAAAATGAAAATATTTTTTTCTTCCCCAAAGTGAGAATAGCAGAAATTTTGGTGAACTGAGCACCATAGTTATATAATATTTCCCTGCGAAGGTCTAGTTTGAAGAAAAAAACTTGAAAACAAACCTATGAGGTTGAGCCTGGTTGCTATGAAGACTTTGGGGTGGTATGTGTTTCTGGGATGACCTATAGAAGGTTTAGTTGACTGCTGGACCTTGGATATTCTTACTCAGTTCAAAGTAAACACACAAAAATGAGCTGGTGCATATGGTGCTTTATAATGCAGTCAAGGGTAAGAATACCTATTGCTGTAGCCCCATTTCCTTTACAAACCCTCACACAATTTTTCAAAAGTGGAAGTTACCGTGGCCTCTGGTTTCCCAGTTCTTCCATGGTATAGTGAAGTCCCAGGTTTTAGAAGCTGAAGCCAAGCATAGGGTTATATCGTCTGTATGGTGGTGAAGCCCAGCACAGTGGTAGCTGCCTAGCAGGAATGACCCGCTCTGAGCATGCAGAGCCCAGAGTCACTGTCCATCTGTGTTCCCAGAGAACAATTGTGAAGAGTCCTAGAACAGGAACTCATCAGACTGTCAGGGGCCTATGTAGCCAAAATGTTACTGAATATAAAATTCCTGTCGTCTTCAGTCTTCATGCTTTGTCACTGTAAAGCGAACAAAAAGCATTTTTACTATAATTTAAAGGAGCTGCTTTTTTATAGCACATACTATTTCGCTTTGTACTATATTTGATAGTTGCAGAATAGACTGTAGAAAAACTTTGTTGTATTTGTACTGTTCTTGAATGTTTCAAAGAAAGTGCTTTACTTGGTTGCCATAATTTTCTTGTACTGCTGTATTCCCCCACCCCTGCTTCATGGAAACCTGATATGATACATATTTTCAGTAGTTGTTTTTTTTTTTTTTAAATGTGTGTTCGTTTGTAATTTTTTTTTTTTTTTGGTCAGTATTCTGAATGTTTACATCTGTTTGACATTAGCCATTTAATGCCTTTTTTAAAGGCGATATTACTCCTACAGTGTAACAGCAAAATGTGAAATCAACCCAAACATAACATGCATGACAAACACAGACTGGGGGCGAAGGCCCCGAACCTACATAGACATTTTATATCAACATGCAGAAAAGTAAAATCCTCCTTCAGTCCTCTACCAAAGAATATATTATTCCCACAGGAAAAACTCAGAAAAGGTGTGTAAAATCCTCAGAAGGGGGAGCAGTTGATTCAGTAAGACTGCAACAATTTAATACTGTTACGCTTGCTTTGATACCTGACTAAATGTGACTGACTGCAACAAGCATTTAAAAAAATGTTTAGACAGTGTTTTGTTTAGAATTCAGGGATCATGCATTCTTTAATGGTGCTGTTTGTTTTTTTATTTCTTTTCTACAAAGAAAACAAGTGTTGCCTACAAAAGTGACTGCTCACAATACCATAAGTTAAATGAAATGAAATGTTTGTCTCTTCATGTTTCTCTGTCTTTCCCTTTCTCAAAGTAACTTGGGTTTCAATATTAAGATATTCTGGAGAAAATAAAGAAATTAAACATGAAATAATGGTCATTTCTAAATTTTTTAATGAAGTAATTTATATATGTTAAATACTAATAATTGAAAATTATATTTTAAAAAATTGTAGGGACAACTTAAACCGTATACTGTTAAATTATCTATGCTTCTTTTTGGTAATGGTGACTTGTCAACGTATGGTTATATCTCTTGTTAAAACAGGAAAAGCTAAAACTGAAACTTTAGAAATTAATGATAGCTGCTATGCTTATCGTTTAAGACTGTATTTGTACTTCCTTGTTTTCATTAAGATCTTAATTCTTCATACCAAAAGAATTCAGGTAAACAAATTGTTACTATCACATGTATTTTTAGCTTTCAAAATGAATAATTCAGAAAATGGTCTTTTAAAAGAAATTGCTCTGGTTAATTTTTTAAAATCCTGCATGAAATATTATAGCTAGAGTTACTTGAATGACATGCTGTGAGCCATTAAAACAAAATTGCCTCAGTTATATTTCCATAGGTTAAATAAATATGCATATCTTTTCAGTAAGATGAATCCAAGTATTAAACACAGTTGGCTATTAAATCTGTTAACTGTTTTCATCTACACAGAAAATGTTGTGTTTAACCACCAGATGGCGAAAGAGGATATTTACTTTCGTAGGAAAAAAATGGTTTTTCCTCCTCCAAAAACCAAATTTAATAATAATAAAAGTCCAAGTTATTCAAGAAAGCCAGTAGAGGATGAATATTTCTACACTTATTACATTATTTTTACTACAATGATGATGATTTTTTGTTCCACTTTTTTTTCTACTGACATATTTACAAAATGTTTTCTTAATTTTATTTAGAATTGCAGGGTTTGTTTTTTAAATTTTTTTCATTGCATTACTCCATAGGCAATACCTAGCCCCAAACCCATTAGGATAAAACCAAACAGCTCAGCATTCTCTAAACTGACAGTTAGTGAAACATTTAAGTGCTCTGTATGTTTTTCTTTATTTTCACAAAAGTACAGTTATACAATTTTTATATAAAGGTCCCATTTTAATAAAATAATGTAACCTAATTAGAATAATAGTGTATCTTAGGATCTAAAGTATTTATTTGTAGCCATCATAGCACTTACCAAAGAACAAGTGATTTATCCAGTATTTAGTCACATAAATACTTCGGTGTAATTAAACATAATTATGTTATTTAGAAGGAACCCAGCTAGCAGCGTAGTTGATAAAACAGTTTTGGGCTTCTTTCTACAGAAGGCAATTGAACAGAAATCCTCGAAAGTGTTTCACATCCTATAAAATTATTTGCTCTTTATAGATCACCTAGACTATTTCAAGTGAAGAGCACACACAATTATGCACAGTGATCTGCAAAAATGAAAAGCTGAAATAATGTTACAATTAATTTAGAAGTCTAAATTGAGTGATGAATCCAGTCCCCATCTCAATAGAAATTTTAATCCAAGTTGCCTGTGTAATTACCATAGACACTTACTACTTAGAGGAAAATCACCTGAGTTAACAGAACAAAGCCTGAAGCATTGAGCATTTTATTTAAAATAATCAGTTTGAAGTTTTGCAACTTTGGTAAATATACCATTGTGCTACCTGACTATAAGTAAAGCATGTATTAAAAATATTTAGCAATCTTGTAAAGTGTCAACCAACCAATGTCTAAACACATGCTACACAAAAGAAATGGCCTTATAAAAACAAATCAGTGAGACTGGCTGAATGTCAGTTCTATGAAGGAAGGAGCCCCCTGAGCCTGCTTTTATCAATAATTAGGATTTTATGTAGTACCTTCATTGCATTTATGAGAAAGTTTGTTTCGGAGGTACTTGTTTTAAGCTAAAATTACCATCTAAAGTCTTGTTTTAACATTTTTATTTCTTCATTGTAAATTCACAAATCATAGTTGTACATATTTATGGGGTAAAAAGTGATGTTATGATTTATGAATACTATATGGAGTAGTTAAATCAAGCCAGTGAACATATTCATCACCTGAAATACTTGTTTTTTGTGGTGAGAATATTTTAAATATACTCAGCAATTTTGAAATGTACAGGTCCTTATTTACTTATACTCACCATGCTGTGCAAATGGACACTTCTCATAAATAACTTGGCCTGAGAGTGGGGGCACCAGCTGCTTTAAAATAAGGTCCCGGACACTTACGTTATACGCATTCCATCTCATATTCTGTAGGCTCATCACAAATTTTTTATTTTATCAAAAGTTTGTAAATGGAAAATAGATTTCACTTTTGATCCAATTTATATCTCTAGTTTCATATTGTGATTTTATTTCAGGAAAACACTGTGTTCAGAATCTTCATTCTTCAGTGAAGGAGGAACACAGGGACTTCAGAGGACTGCACAGCTATGCTTCCATCTTCCTTGATTCGTTTGGCTTTCAATGTCCAATCATGGGATGTTATGGCATCTTCTAGCTATAGCAAAGCATGACTGACCTCAGTAACTGTAGGAAATGTGAGCTTTTCCTAGGTTTTCTCTCCTACAAAAGTCACAACACTTATGTATGTCCATTTATATAGAAATGAAACGTTTCCTGCTATAATATAAACATTTGCAAATCAGTTTGTCTTAAAATGAGTGAAAAGATTGGTATAGGAGTGGGGACAGTATTCTGTAATGGCTTCTTAAGTGGAAGCCGCTAACATATTTTATCCCCCTTCTTCCCTTAACCTGTAAGCTCAGTGTAGATTTTATTTCTTTCAGTGCATATTTTTGATAAAATCTTTACATCTCCAGGAAGAAAAACAAAAACTATGAAAAATTAGCTGGTAGCTTAGGAAACTTGAACATATTTTAAAACTTACACAAACTGTATTCAGAGTAGGACTCTATGGATAATCTATTACCTCTCTTCGATAAATACTCACTGAATGTCCTCACCTTTTGTCCATCAGAAAAACGTGACTTTGCCAGAAAATGCAATGGCTGCTACACAGATTGTGCTAACTCTGGGAATTCCAAGAAAAATTGGAGGGTGTCAAACCCTGAAAAAATATAGGATAGTGGGGAAGATAATAAAATAATATGTGACAAAAATATAACCAAGATATATGCAAGGTTTAATGAGGAAGGAAGCAACCAAGTAGGTGAAACTAGGATTGCCAATGGCTGAGCATGAGACCCTCTAGAAGGGCACATATTTCCCTCATCTGCCATGGTTTAAGGGCAGTACCCTGGGGCAGGAGAGCAAATTCTTCACCATCAGTATGCCAATTATTTTCCTGGAACAGGGTTCCTCAATAAAGAGCTGTTTTTTTCTAATAATAATCTTTTTGAGTTTTATGACTGTCCACTAGAGAAAAAAAATCAAGCTTGTAAAGCATTAGAGTTAGTTTTATTCAGAAGTCTTAACTGAGGACTATAGACTGAGGATATATCCCTGAAGAAATCTTTCAGAGATGTTCCATCAGACTACTACAAAACTGTTTTGGCTCATTGCATAGATACAGGCAGTGAAGGGTCAGTATGTACAAAATCCTATCAAATTTTGGGTGCAAGACTACATCTGGTTATAGATTGTAGAAGCATAATCACTGACCCTGTCAGACATTATCTTCTTGTAGGAACAGACAAAGTCTAGGGTCATTTATCTTTTAAGGAATATAGTGACTCAGGCAAGAGATGTGAGAGCCATGTACTCTATCACAGTTTTGTCTTCAAAGCATTTTGCCAGAGAACTGCATCTCGTCACAGAGTCAGGGGCTTTGTGAAATTATGCTGGCAAGCAGAAATGGGCAAACATGGCTTTCTTTATTTACTACTTTATCTCACAGATCCTTTACATAGTTCGGAGCTCTGTCACCAAGCCTTCTTTCATGAATCTAGGATTTTTTTCAGATGTTCGTAATGGTAATAATCGACGTTTTAAAAGCTAATATATTGAAAAAAATATTTATGGTGCCTGATGTCCTTGGTGACCATTGACTAATACTTTTTAAAAAATATAAAACATATTTCTGTATGTAAAAGCCAACTAGTATTAGAGACTAGCACAGAAACAAATGCAAAAAAGTGGAGTATATTGATATAAATTGTAATGTGAGCAATTAATTTTTTTAAAGGAGAAGGAATTGATTCTGACTATTCATATTACTTAATAGGATTCAAATAAGAAAACTAAGAGTTACACATGCAAGTTACAAGTTTGGATTGAAGTCAGGGAACTTATACATGTGTCATCCAGTACTTTTGAGAAATAAAAGCTCCCCACTCTGCTGGTGATCACAGAAGGTAAATATTTTCATCACTGGGGAAAATCAGAAAACGTACAAGAGTCATCCAGCTGATAACACCAAGATATATAGTGCCAGAGATTAGTTTCACCTGTATCAGTATTTTTCCAAGAAACTCTTATCTGTTTAAGTGAATTCTACCACTCTCTTAATTCCACACTGGTGACTAAGGACGCAAGAGATGACTGTCATTCCACAGAGAAGCCTAGTCTGTATCACCAAGTGGTCCATACTGCACTGTCATCCTGCCCCAGCTGTGAGAGCATGACTTGGGTGATATCACACTCCTGCTCCCTGTCTGACTCATCATCTTGCCCACAGGCCAAGCCCATCTTTAATCACTTCTTGCTTGCAAATATTTATCTTAATGCCATCTGGCAACCTAATATTTTAAGTATTTTAATAAATATTTATTTGAAGACATTGTGAAGCTAAGAAATTTATAAGTTTAGATTTAGTGAGAAATTGCATTTTCCTATTTTCAAAAGGAGATATTTTAACTTCCTTTTCTACTTAAGTAAAACATGTCATCTCACTGAATATAAAAATACCTCAGTCCTTGACCTTTAATACTTGTCAAGGGATTCTAAAGATGAAGATATTTTCGGTGCCAAAATTCATCCAACCTTCAGTAAGCCAAAAAATTTGTTATCACCATCTCTATGCCGGGTGCTGAATTACAGGGAATGTAAGGTTTTTCTGGTGACTTGATTTTTCAAGAAAATTTGTACCATACAACATTATCATAAGTTGGAAGA